TTATTTGTATTATGAATATAATCATGTGAATTTGTTGATGCGATAGGTAGAAATGATTGAGGTTTCATATGATGATAAACAATAATTATTGTTAATAATTGAACAAATAAAGCTGTCCAATAAAGATCAAGAAAGCCACGATATTCAATCCAAAATCCGACTAGAAGTGAAGCTATTGCACCAATAGCTGTACACATAGCACCAATATAAAGAAATCTAGATGTTCGCTCTGATTCTTTTGTACTATCAGTAATAATTAAATTTAGAATAAAACTTGAAACATTACCACCACCAGCTAAACTTGATAAAAATGCTGCTATATGCCACCAATAATCTGGTAACTATTAAGAAGAAGAAAACACAAATAATAAGATATTCATTTTTCTTTTCGTTTATTTTTAAACTTACTTCATAATGAATAATAAATAACCAAATAGAATATTGCACAAGATTACCTAACATAGTTAAAATAAGAACAAATTTTCGACCAAGTTGATGTGTATATAAACCCAATATATAAGTCATAAGAATAGTAGGTACACTTGATGCTACTGTCTGATAAAAAAATAAATTTGAAGATTTTTTCTGAGCCCATTGTTGAGCTAATGATGAAGTTAAGAGATCTTTACATTGACCAAGTTCATGTTGTATTATTGTTGAACCCGTCTTTGAATATAAAGATAGATCAGGATAAAGTTCAGTTCTTAAAGCGTATGATTTAAGATAGTAACTATAAACATATTGACCAATTGATGCAGCCAAGCAATAATAAATTGTCTAAGAAAGAATTTTTTTTCAATTTAAATAAGTATTTTGAACAAGAAATAAATATCTTACTTGTAAACATAGAATAACTTCGACTAGATGTGAATGAAATAAGTGATTTAATGAAAAGCAAAATAAAACACGCATAATAATTTTTAGGATGAAAAATTCGATAAAATAATTCGTTGATAAGTTTCAGAGAGATTCTTTTTTCTGTGAGAAAAATAAAATGATCTTTTGAAAAGAAACAGTTTATCCCTTTACATCTAGTTGGCTCATCATTTATTATCAAGATTATAATTATAATATACACCTTCACTCTCTGAATTTGTCAGTGCGTAGTTGCCACAAATACTTAGTTAATTAAAAGAATACAATACGCTATCTTTTACACAAATCAATATTGAATATTTATAATACATTGAGTTGTAGAAAAATATTTTATAGATGGCGTACAAAGCATGTGTACAGTAGGAATGAAGGGAATTTTCATCAAATATATAAATTAGATGATGTTCAGTTTGGTTAGTTTGAACTGAATAATATAAGTTACATGAAAACACTACATATAAAAAAAAAAGTGTATATAGATTAAACTGACCGATTTGAACCAATCAGCTTCTACCTAATAAAAAAAAATATCGAAAAAAAGAAAAAAAACGCTAGTGGCGTAACTAGGATAAGGTTAGATTGTGCGACGCCAATTGAGAACTAGCACGACTTCAGTACTTGAAAATACTTAAGTTGCGCTTTTTTCACTTGGACGACCCTCAACCATCTTACAGTTTGTGAAAAGGACGCTTTATTTTAAGAAGGTAAAATCAAAACGAACACAAATCATTCACGTTCTTTTTGCACTCTATGGTACTCTGAATTTGATCGATGAATCGATTGAGCATCCTATAGTTTAGTTCTTAAAAAAATGGTGAACTCTGTGGCACTAGCAATAACTGATAGATTGTCGTTTCACCTGTAAATTGTTCCCTTAGTCATATATGTTATAGATGACATGTAAACAAATTTTTGAGAAGCTGAATTTATAGGACCGATATTGTCATGAAAATTCATTCAGATGTTAAAAAGATGAAACATGTTACTATGTAGCTGGTTTTTTGGCTCATCTCCAACAAAAAGCACGAACAAGTTGAGTACTCTGCGTCGATTAATGATGAATTTTTATCGACAATAAAACTAATTCAAAGTGTTTGTTGTCTGACAAGTGGACCTCCCTCAAACTATTGCCATCATTATCATCCATGATAACAGAATCTGAAAAAAGTCGATGTTAACTTTACACATATCAGTCTTTCTTTTTCACGAATGAATCTTCAGCTTAGTCGAAATTATCTTTGAACAGAACAGACAATATAAGAGTTAATTTTATTCGCAGCTGTGTTAAATCCTTCCATAATTCATGTATTTAATAAAAATAGATTCTGTCTTTAGTTATTATTGTCGTTGCTTTGACTATGTGTTTATTTTATTAAATATAAAAAACAAAGTTTATTCTCTATATGACAAAATTTATGTCTAGAGTATGGATATCGTTGAAAGGAAGATCTCGCTTAGGTCCATACCTGCATCCTTTCTGCTATGTTGCGTGAAGCGTCAAGATTTCGAAAATCTGAATATAGTGATTTTAGATGGCATTGAAACTGAAAAGATTCATTAGCATAGTACTCAGCGTGGTTAATTACCACAGTCTTGACGTTTTTCAGGTGATTCAAGGCCAATAGACTGAAATCAGAGTCTCTTGAAAACCTCATAACTCTTGAATGAAATGAGCTAGAGACTTCGACTTTGGATAGACTAAAAGAGAATAATTTTATCTATCAAATGGTCATATCAGCGATCAAAAACCAAGGCACAAATTTTTTTAACATGAAAATTCGATTTACGCATGGATTCCCAGAGATTCTTCACTATCCAAAAGCATAAAGATTCTGACATAACTACACTTTCCACATGTTTCTTTTTCGAATGTTGAAAAGTGCAGGTGGCTAGCTTTTGTTGTTCCGGAGATAGTTTTAAAAAAATCTGCGTTCGTTACATTTTGGCGGCGATAATAGTTCTACATATGTACTACTCTCAGGAAAATTTAGAGATCCTTTGAGCTTTATGGATTTTGAAGTTATATTTCGTATATGTAATTATGCATTTTATCCGTTTGGTTTTCTTATTAGACAGTTCGTCAGAGGAAAATTTCAGAGTCGTACGATATTTGTTGAAACGTTATTACAAAGTTCCAAATCCCTATATTATCAATGTTTTTTCGAACCTACGATAGCTAATTCCATTTGTTCTCGGTTCGCTCCACAAAATAGCATGCGATGGTACATTTCTATTTCCAGGAAATTCAAATAAAGTGACTATAGGAGAAATTTCATGGAAATTTAATCGAATGCTTTTAAGGATAAATCATAGAAAACTCTTCTAATTAAAAAAAGAATGTAGAAATGAGATTGAAGTCTAAGTTAGGATTGGGTTGGGTTGGGCTGGATTGAGTCAGGTGAGAATATACTTAACCCAACCCAATCCGAAATAGAATCATATGTTATGTATATATTAAAATGCTTGCCATGATTCGATAAAAATATAAATAATAGAGATCTTTTCTATACACATTTTTTTATGAAGTAGTATCAGAACAGTTATATATATAATAATATAAAATGTGCCTCTATATATGAAAATTAGTACTGGGCATTGTCACATTAATACTGTACATTGCAATCTCCTGCACTTTATGTGTAGTCAATTTTGAATTTTCTGGAAATAGGAGTTTACCATGCCTTCTGAAAACGATGACATTATATATAATTCGAGAAGATGATTTTTCTTTTAGGAAGAAAAATTCACAGCTGATTAATTTATTTATTCATATGTAGATGAATATGTCTATTTATGAATTATTTAATGTGACACAGAAAAGGTAATAAAATAATTAAGGTACGAAAAAGGAAAACATTAGTACAGTAGTATCATTAGTATGAAATGAATAATGTACGGGCAAAGCTTGTAACTAAACATCATTTTAAATGATTTTAATCTCGTTATTGTGTGTCGTTCGTTTGGATAGTATTTGTTTGAGAAATATTATAATAAGATAAGTTTAATTTCAAATATTGATGTATCAATCCATTCAATAATGAACGTCGTTGAGAAAAGTGTAAAAGAATAAGCATATTGACTCGTTTGTTCTTCTATGACCGAAATTTTAGAACTTCAAAATTGTATTTCGATTTCTTCTTTTGTCTGAGAATCTTTTTTTTTTTGAATAGAAATGAAACTTCGTAATTTTTCTCTTTATCTCTTATCACATGTAATTTTTCTTTATTTTTGTATTACCTTCAGAACAGTGCAAAAATGACTTTTATTTTCTATAGGAACTTTAATGCTCTTTATAAACAATATTTCCAAGAAGTTATCTAAAACACGTTAATGATGATCTCAAGAAGCGACAGTTATAAAATACTCATTCAAACGCGAGAATGAAATCTTATGATCGATTCAATAGCATCCTGTTTCTGGCCTTTAATATGAAATTTCATTTTCTTACAGAAAGTCACCCAAAAAGACTAGTTGTTGTGGACTTTGTTTTCTTTTCAAGCTTCGAGATTATTAAAATGAAGACAGTAACAAAAGTTAGACACCGCTCTCTTTGGTAATAACTGAAACAGCTGTGTATACAGCTGACGATAAATAATGAATCAGAAAGAGAATCAAGTGCTCAATCCTAAGTATTCTGTAAAATGATGTGTATATCCATTAATAGAGTTCTCTTTGTAATGAATTTCACAATGACCATCTTACGTTTTATTTCTGACTTCGATCATCTGATTCATCGAAACGTAACTTTTGCACAATTTACAGCGATAAAAAAAAGAAGCCCTGATTCTAGTATAGCACGGTTATCTTTTGAAGGAAATTGTTTCATATTCAACCATTCAAATGATGATTCGTTTTTTAGAAAATATTGATTTATTCATCCATTGACGTTGAATGCTTCGAACCACATTTTGTAGTCGAGTGAAACTCAAATGCCATCTAGTTTCTTTTAGTATTCTTTGTCTAACAACTTTAAATAAAGTAGATGAAGCAAGTACATTAGTAACTCAAATGATCGAACAATATCTTCAAAATGCTGATTTATTAATTATTCGTGCTTGTCTGTATTATAAAGACAAGAATAAGGTTTTTATTGAAGAATTATTTTTTTTGCCATTGATTAATTTTTACGAAGAAAAAAGAGCATGAATTTTTCGAATAGCTTCTTCAATAACTTGTATAACATTTAAGACACTTGTTACAGCTTGAGTTGCTATTGTATTTTGCATTGTAGGAATTAAATTAGTTATCATATTTTTCATAGTTTGTAAATGTGTTTTAAGAAAAGTACTTAATTTTGAAATTGATTGTTGTAATTGAGTTGCTACATTACCGTTAAGAAAACTTTGAAGAGTTTCAAGAACTGATTGTTGAAAAACAAGTTTAAATGATTTAAGTTCAGTTAAAAGATTTACTCGAGCATCATTTTCTAAATCACGTTTACGAAGTGGTGGAATTAGATCACCAATCCATGATGTTACACCATAAATAGCATTTGAAACTGCATTTGTAACAGTAGAATGAATATTTGAAAGTGCACTAATAGTTGAATCAAACTTTTCAGCAATTGGCATGACAAATGGACTTACGAGACCCCAAAACTCTATAAGTCCCCGTGGTTCTTCAAGAGAAACACTAGTGCTAAAAGCACCATGAAGTTGAGCAATAATTAAAACAATAAGAATAACTTTCATGCTTTTGATATTCGTAAATGTGTTTTTCCATTTGGAAAAAAAACAGCTTTTTAAGTATAACTAACAGATGGGTTTATTTCTCATAGTTTTATTTTATCTCTGTTGCTAACACTTGGCTATTATGGAGTGTGTGATGCTTTAAAGCTTGAAGTGTATCATCGATTAACCAATAATATAATGTCTGTTCTTAAAGAAACTGCAAAAAAAAAATCGCGTGATATTTGTGTATATTTGTCAATTAAAAAATATTTAAATAATGCGCTCATAGCAATTAATTTTGCTATACAACTTTATTCAATTTTTTCTTCTAACTTATTCTTGTATAAAACTTGGATTTTAGTATAATTTTCGAAAAATAAAAAATTTTTAATCAGCAACTGATGAATATTTACTTGTTTCTGATGTGGGTGTGGCTGGCTTTGCGTAGATGAGTATGAAGACAAGTTTTTGGCTCTAACATGTACACGAGGAGACTACTCGAACTGATATCTGCCATTTGAGCGCATATTAGGCCTACACAACGACACTTTTGTGAGACTAGCACAAGTTGGTCAGAGTTTGTCTCCATAGATTTTTGAGTCAAGCTATGATTATTTTACTGAATTTTTGATTCACTTTTAGGTATATACTGAAATTCATAAACCATTATTTCGACGTGATATTTTATCCATAAATAGTTCAAATGACTAGCAAATTATTCTGAAAATTTCAGCCGAAAAGAGTGTTCCTTTGTCGAGATATTGGATTTTCAAGTAAACTCGACTTTTTTGACATGTCTGTCTACACCCTCGCTCATACTCTAACTTTATTTACATATTGTCATTCATCACCTTAATAATTAAATTATAAATATATGGAACATCCAAGTATACTTGAATGGTATACAAAATATGTTCGAGCATTAAAATTTACTAATCATGCATTATTTGATTTTATTGTTAGTGATGGTGATGATAGAAAACTTTATGAAAATAAATTTAATCCATATGTAAATTCAGCTATTACTGCATTTTATCATTATTCAAATACTACAGATATTTTTTTTCGATCTGATCATTGAATACCTATAATTGCATACTTAAATGGATCGTGAAGTTTATTAGTTAACACTTGAATGATATCATGTATCAATCAAAAAAAGTCAATATCAATCTTTTCAAACAATATTTAACTCTTAATAGCAAAGGTGGGTTATTTTGACGATGAGAAAAAAAGAGATCCCTAAAATAAAGATTCTGGATGCTCAAAATGATCATATTATAATTAAAAGACAGATAAATTTTTTTTCTTATAGAGATATATAATGTCTCTTGGAAAGGGAGATTCGATCTTAACATCATGAATGTGTCACTTGTCTTAATTTATGTGAGAAAATTTTTTTTCTCATAAATAATTCTATTTATTTATTTCATATAATACTAAGAATCAATTTAATAAAATATTTGCAATTTTTTCAAATACTTCTGCGCACTCAGTTTTATTATAACACCACCTTATAAGTCCAGTTGAGTGGCGCGAAATCAATCTTATAGAGGACAAAAAGGTTATCTCATGATTTTGTTAGTGGTCTCAGCTTATCAGCGAAGTGGCTGCTGAATACTCTTCGTGAGTAGAATCAAAACTATCACGAATTGTTCAGAATTGAAGTGAAATCAGTAATTCCTTCATAGGTGAAACGAAATATTTTGGATAATTGGGAGTTTTTGATGATTGAGAGAGTATGTAGCCGACCTCTAATGCTACTCCACGATAGTCATTCCAAGGACTCAAACTAAGAATTTCTCCACGTAATACCTCAAATAGTTCTTTCATTATTTATGGATCGATAGAACATTTCATGTTGTTATGATCAAATGTCTTTTCCAAAGAACATTTTCTTAATGATATTACCATGAGGCAGTTGATCGTTAAAAAAATTTGCGAACAATTTCATCAGATAGCTTGACATTGTGCTAAGCAAAATCATTCAAAAAATAAAACAAAATAATTATCAGTGAACAAAGTGTTTAGAATAAAAATATGAACTTCAAAAAATTATAGATTTTAAAAACTCTGTTGTACTATCTGACAATCATGTAAGAGAGATTTAGTTTTTATTTGATGATTTATAAGATCATCTGAGTCAGGTAATATACTGGTTTTTGCATATAAAGTTTTATTAAGTCTACACTAGTAATGATTACTTCAATATTCCTTCGAAGGGACATACGGATTTTTGAGGATTAATAATAAAGAAGTGATATGATTACTAAATGATTCATCAGCATTTGTTTTTATTATATTGCCATATTCGTATAATTCATTTTTTATTGGATGATCTTCGAACTAAGTTGTGTACATGTTTTAAATAAAAGTAATTATTTTTCTGGTAAAAATTCATTAATTTAGTAGTTTTGTTGTTGTCGTTGTTGTTGTTATTTTATTTGAAATCTTAAAAAAAAAAGCAATTGCTATATTAAGATATCAATTTCAAGGAACAATAAGAAACAGGAGACTAATACCACAATAGAAAAATATTGACTAATGACCTTGGATATTAAAATATAAAAGCTCGATACGATATCTGCACATACAAATTTAGTTGGCTTTTGACATCAACTATTACTTTGTTATTGACGAACATGCAAACACTTATTTTAGGAATTATTTTTGTTTTACTTCAACAACATATTCAACTGGCTGGCGGAGGTAAAAATAAAAATAACCGTTGTTCATTGAGTTTAGTTCGATATGTTTTTTTTTTAGTTACATGTGCAAGTAATCCATGCAGTCTCGTACCTGGTCAATTCGATGCATCAAATGGCTATTGTTGTTATGATGTTCCACCTACTAATACCGATTCTGTATGTACATGTCCAAATAATGTTGCACCTGTTCTTAATGCACCTTGTCGTAAGAAATCAAAAAATGATTATAAGAAAAACATTTTACGCATATTTTTCTATCGAATATAGGTACTGTTATATCAGTAAATCAAGCATCTTGCAATCGGACATGTCTTAATGGTGGTGTATGCAATATAGTCAATGGTACACAAGTATGTTGGTGTGGATTGGGTTACACTGGTTCATCTTGTGAACTTCAAGGTTAGTTATTCATATTTTTGTTTTGTTATTTCATCCAAATATTTTATTTGATTTATTTAGGTACTGCCACTCGTTGTGCAACTGGAGTTTGTCAAGCTGGAGCTTGTGTTGAACAAACTCTAGGAGCAACTGTATATGCTTATTGTTATTGTAATCCAGGCTGGACAGGAGCGAGATGTGATCAATGTTTGTATTTTATTTATTATTAAATTTTTAATTTTAATATTTTTTCTAATTTTATTAGGCTATTTTACATGTCAACGAGTGGGTGTTTTTCCTGATACTGCATATTGTACTATCGGTCGATATTACTATTGTCCTCAAGCATCTGGCAGTAAATATTTTCAAATAGAATTATTTATTGATGATGATGATGTTTTTATTTTAGCACCGATTATTGCCCTTTGTCCTGATGGGCAGAAATTCAATCGCCTAACAAGCCAGTGTGCTCCAAACGCTACTTGCACATAAATATAGTACATAAATTATTATTATGTATTTTATGGACATTTTAATAAAAAATAACTATGATATTCGAATCTTTGAAAACCTTTTTTTTTCGTTCTTATATATCTAATAAAATGACATTAAAAATAAATATGCTGATGTACTCAATTATTATTGTCAAAGGATTTCATTTATTTGTCATTCCATCAAATCAAAATATGATTCTTCGATAATATATTTACTCTTTGTCAATAAATCTTCTTAAATAAAAATAAAAAAATAATTTGTTTTCAGTACAAAGAAATTAAACCTTAAACTTGAAGATATTTATTTAAACTAAAACTAAAAATTAAAACGTAAAACCATCAATACTCCTCGAATATTAGAGCTGTACAACAAAAAAACAAACGATCATTTGTTTTTGTTGTATTATCCAAAGGAAAAAAATCAAGAGAAAAGATCATAGGGAAAAAAATAGGTATCACAACAGGACAATATTAAATAAGATCATGCATTTATTATTGCTGGATTTGTTTTTGTTGTGCCTTTGTCTATCTTTTCTTTTTCCTTAATTTCTTGATGATTAATCCACATAAGGAAAAAGTGCATTAATGCACTTGTTATAAAACTAATACCACCAATCATGAATGGAATATTAAAACTTGATGTTGCATCTCGAATAGCACCCATTATCTAAATAAAAATTAAAAAATTAAAAAAAAAAAAAGAAAAAAAAACCTAGATAAACTTACAGGTGGAGCACTTAATGATGTAATACCTCGAAACATCAATGTTAAACCTAAGGCACTACTATAACGTTCAAGACCAACTAATTGACAAACAATTACTGGACTTAAAGAAACATGAAAGGCTACAAAGTAAAAATAAATAAAAATTTTTAATGACTTTTGTTAAAGAAAAAAGCTCTTACCAATAAAACCACCCCATATAATACAATAAGTTATAAGAAGTGCATGTGTTCGACAAAATGGAACAAGTAATGTTGCTATACCAGCTACAGTTAAACCGATATTATTGACAAGTAATGGGCTCATTTTAGGAATTTTTGTTACCCAACCCGATGTAAATCGAACAAATGTGTTACTAAAACCTATAAAAATAAAAATAAAAAAGAATTCTTCCATAATTCAACAAATAAAAAGAATTCTATTTACCAATAATTGATAATAGAAAAACAGCAGATCTTGGATCAATAGATCTTTCTTTTGTTGCTACTTTAACAATAAATAAATAAGGTGTATAATAACCGATCATTGAACAGACATTAGCCTTCATAAAATCAAAAAAAGAAATGAGAAAAGCAAATCGTCATAATATATATATATATTTTTTAAAAATTCATTACCAAACATATAATAATCATTTTTTTGTCATTTAAAACGTTAAAATTTGTCATAGAAAGAAATACATCCCAAAATGATTTCATTGGTGATTTTATTGTTGTATCAGGTATTTTAGTTGTTTCTTGAATATAAGTTGGTATGTCCGGTTGAGATTGATATTCAGGTAAATCTTTTGTATCACCTTGATAAAGTACATCTTCCTTATATAAACTATTAACAATAGATTGCACAAAAAAAAAACGATTAAATAGATAATATAAACTTACGGACGAACAGCATCTTCAGCTTTAATACTTTGTCTTGATTTAACTGAAATAGCAGAATTAGCTCGTGATCGTTTTCGTATCATTTCTTCTATTTCTCCTTCATGCGCAGTTGGACTTGGTTTATGACCTGATACAGATGTACCAATAGCTTCAAAATCTTTCGTGTCGCTAAGTAAAGGTGATGTCGTCTATGATAAAATCAAAAGAACAAAATAAACAAATTTAAAGTAATTTATTTATTCACCGTTGGTGGAAAAACATCTTCATCATGTCTATAATAATAATTAAAAAGAAAAAGAAAATATAATTTAATTACAAATATCTAATGTTGACATTTGAAAACAAACTAGAACTTTCATTCATGCCATTGTTATTTTTCTTATGATAAAATAAGAAGGTCATAATCATACCAATAAATCCTTCAGGAATGTTCTCAACTCAGCAAAACATGCGTAGATACTGATCAACAGACAATATTCTGTCATTTACATTAATAACAGATCAATAGTTCTTCTATTAACAAACCATATGGTCTGGAATAACAATCTCTTCTAAGCAATTGTATTCGACAATACACATCAAACTTACATTTCATGAGCTTGTAATATACGTCGTTTTCGTGTTGGTTTTAAGGGAACCATTAAAGTAGAACAAGCAGCACACAATGCAACAATACAAGCTAATATTATTAAACCTTTTTTCCATCCGAACTGATCAAATAATAATCTTGAAAGTGGTCCAAACGTGATCGAACCAATTCCTGTACCAGCAGTAACAATACCTAAAAATGAAATACTTAGTATTAAATAAAGAAAAAACAAACAAAAAATTGATATTTTTTTTTACCTGTAGCTATAGCGCGTTTTTCTTCAAAGTAATAACCAACCATGACAATACTTGGTAAATAAACAAGACCCATACCAATGCCGCCAATAACACCAAATAATAACCACATTATATATATATTCGGTGAAAAGACCGATGCTGCAATAGCCAGTGCAGCGATAAAACTTCCAATTATACCAATTGGACGACATCCAAATTTATTACATAGTGCAGAAGCTATAGGTGCTAGATTAAAATGTTACAAAAAGAAAAAAAAAATCTTATGGTGAATAAAAAAAGTCACAGAAAAAAAAAAGACTAATAGTTACCACTAAGTAAATAAAAGCCACAAGCAAGAGAGATAACAAGTGATACGGCCCATTCTGGACAGTGGTAAAATTCTTTTAAATCGTCTGAAATGGCACCAAACGCATAGAGAAAACCATCAATAATTAAATTAATAAGCTATATAAAGAAATATTGTAAAATTTTGCTTTTTTTTCTTTTATCAAAAAAAAGAAATCTAGTATAATTACTTACAAAACAAGCTTTAAGAACTACCCAACCAAATCCTCCATCAGGTGGAATTGTAATATAATCATATTCTTCATCATCTTCTAATTTACGTAATTTTCTTTTGTCTGATGTTAGTTCTACAGCTTCTGCTTCAAGTTTTTTTTCAATCTCTTTTGCCATTTAAATACTTACTCTAAGAATATTGTTATTTAATTTGACATTATCAACCAATATGTGATATCACATGAACGTTTATTCTTTTTTCTTTCTTTCTTTTTTTGAGTCGAATTTATTGCAATATTGATACTAATGATAACGGTATAGCGATGTTATGTGATAATTGACCCTGCATCTATTATAAACCGAATAAAATGATGGGGAAAAATGTATGCATTCGTAAGTCATGAAAAAATAGCATTTTTTTAATGCTGTTTTTTCGTTTTGAATTACAAAAATTTTTTTTATGTAACAAAAAGAAAATGATAAAGAAGAAAAAATAAACAAGGAACATAACTGCATTACTATCGATTATATATAGCTGTTTAGAAGAAAATATATTTGTTGTCGACTATGTGGATATAACGGACGCACTTTTTGTCTGTAAGCGACGTCGACATTGAAGAATATTATCGTTCTCGTTCAGGAAGAAATAGGAAGAAAAAAAAATGGAGGCAAAACGTAGGCAGCACATGTATTTGTTCTTTATAACAAAGTTTTTTCAAATACACTGTTTTCCCAAAAATAAATATAAAAGAAAATTTTTTTCATAGATAGTTTTTTTTATCTCCTTGGGAAATTAATTGAAAGGCGATTATTGCGTCACCATTTCATATTATATCTTATATACGTCCGACACATACATAGATAGAAAGAAAGACAATTACAGTGTATGAACACAAATTAAGACGTGTACGTTATAGTGTAGAGACGCGTTCAGTGATGGTGAAAAATGGTTTGAAGCTCAAAAAAGAAAAAATTACAATCACATATCTTTAAAATCTTCATTTCTCACATAGTGATAATATCAAATTTGAATAGAATATTTATAGAGGGGTATTATGTGACCTATTCTTTTAGTTTATCTATACTATGTATATCCTTCAACCTACATATTTCATGTTGATATTGTGCGTGTGTGTTAAACGTAATCACAATCATTAAATGAACGATCAAATAGTGGGTATAGAAAAAAAAACAACCTGGTCTTTTTATTCGGTTGAATAAAAGTAATATATATATATATATATATAGCAAAAATAATGCATTAATATGACATCTCATAAACATTTGTTTTCTATTATGAATAGATATAGAGTCCACACTTAGATTACTCAATGCCAATCTGCTTGTTAGTAACACGCAAAGACTGAACATCGGATTTAATTTTCCCTCTTTTCTTTCTGACAACAATAGACATGCAATGCTTCCTGTATTCGTCTCTTCAAATCAGTACGATCGTATTGCGTATGATGCAAATCAATGCGAAGCGTTAAATGAAATAAAATTGATTATTCCCTCTCTTTTTTTCCGTCTTGAAAATAATGCTTATCAATGATGACAGATAATATCGTACAAAAATTGATTTTTTTTTGTACTATTATAGAAATGACAATATAATCAGTTCAGTTTATGTAATATGTCCTTTCTTCTAGAATGCGCACAACAGATGGTGTCAATATAATAAAGTATGAAATGGCATCAGTTTGATTATTCATACAAATATATATATAATATTAACTATCAAGTTGGAATATTAAAAAATCTAGTTTTGTTTGATAAGTGATCAAAAACAAAAAAAAAAGAATCAGTTACATAAGAAAACTTAGGCGATTGAAATATGAATTTTAATAAAATGATTCATGTATGAAGGATAATAATGAGTCTCTATGTGTAGACTAGTGATGAAGTATACTTCATAACGCTATTTTATATGACTCAAGGTTGCTTTATTACAACAAGCTGAATTTTTTTTTTGCTTCTTTTCATGATAGAAATTATTCAAAACTTGAACTATATAATTAATATTGCAGGTTTTCCTTCGTTCATAAAGAGTGTTTCATAAATTCCAATCACATTTTAATTTTTTTGTCTTAGTCGTATTTGAAGGAAAATGAACATTGAACATGTCTATTTTTAAGTGTAGTACATAAAATAACATTCACGAGAAATTGGACTCAATTCACATCAACTCAAAGAGAATACTATATAGATAAAAATGTCGAAGAAAAATTTCCTTCGTTTTGGTACAACCAAAACAGCTATTATTATTGAAAAATACTGACCGTTATACAATTTCAGTTTTTTTTAATTTCATAAAGATCAATATTTTTTGAGAATAACTCTGGTTTGACTGTACCAAAAACGAATGAAATTTTCATGAATGATAAATCTAACTATGTCCCATCTATAATAAAAATTCCTACATATTTATTTTTGTCTTCATGAAGGTACAATTCACTAAAGACGAAAAGAAAAATGAAATTCCGTCACGCTCGTTTACATCGAAAACAAAATAACTTTGATAAAATTTTTTCGATATTTTTATCGATGTGGTATTTTCTTTGAGTTGATGCGAATTGAGTCCAATTTCTCTTTGATTATAACTTATGTGCTACTCTTCATACATTCTCCTTCTCAAATACGACTAAGACACAAAAAAATAAAATGCGGTCGAAACTTATGAAACATCTTTTATCAGATTCATGACATTCTAAAGCTAGAGTTCTGTAGGACAGTCTCGAATCTAGTTTGTCTCGTCCTATAGAACTCTATCTAAAACATGAAAAAGCTTCTTATGAATAAATATAAAGTTTTCGGTTATGAAAATCTTTCTTGTTCGATACAATTACTCACCAATGTTTTTATTTTTATTTTTTTTCATTATGAAATATATAGTTACAATAATAATATTCAAACGTACTTTATTGACTAGTTGATCTTATGTGTTGATATAAGGAGTTATCTTGAAAATAACATTAATAAAACTTTATTTCTTTTACCAATGCAAATATTAAACTAATCTTTTTTTTTCTACTTTTCCTCCTTCTCCTCCTCTATATTTGTTTACTCTTCATTTTCCACAAAGAAACATACATATATAGACAACACTCAAACATATTTGTTCACAGTCAACAACGGAAATCAAATCAAATCGAATCAAAAAAAAAGTCAACTGATTGAGTATCGACGAAGAAAAAAAAATAAAAGATATTCGGCAAAATCCATACAATTACAACAAAAAAAAAAAGAATCGAACGGAAATGAGAAAAAAATGGAAAAATTCTTATGAGGCAGGCACCGAAATATACTTTCCAACATACAAATACATGCACCTGAGAAGGAGTTAAACAAAAATAGATAGATTATAGATAAAGATAAAGATACACACACACATAAATAAAAGGATTAAATTTAAAATATAAACAGTTGTGAGTACAAGGAAGAGATTCACTAAAACTTAATAGAAATATAATATTTTTTGTTCATAATTAGATAAGAAAATATGACTAGATGACAAAGTACAATATCAAATTCTGTCACACATATATATTCACATACAGATACCACTAAATGGACATCGTTCTTTTTCTTGATCAGTCGAACAGATACAATATATTTGTGGAACATGATGTGAATCCCAATTTCCTAAATAATGAATAAATAATAAATAATAAAATCTAATAAAGATAATTAAACAAACCTGGACCAGCAAGCACCGATATATCATGAAGACAACAAGGAATACGTTGTAATAAACGAAATTTATAAAGTAAACTTCGAGCCTATCAAAAAAAAACAAAAATAATTGAAATTTTCTTTTTTTTGTTGTAAATTTTTTTCTTCTACTTTTCTCAATACAATGGTGCCACTCATATGCATTGCAAGACTATTAAAATGAAGAAGCATATCATCTGTACCAAGATGTTGTTGTACAATATCTTCGCCATATACTGCCATAATACTTATACAAATAAATAAATGAAAATAATCAGTTTGATAATGTGACCAACATGCTTCCCACATTCGTAACGCTTCTAAATAGATGAATTTTACTTTTAACAAAATTACTTAAGCACATTCCCCTTTCAAAAATCGATCTTGGATCAAATACATTCAAATCGTATGACACTTTCAGGATATGTTGAGGTTAGAATGGAAAGATTATGGTAAAATTTTTAACTCTATATCATGATGTTTTTCGAGAGATATTATTCGCCAAACAAAGATAAAAAAAACAGGTCATTTGGCAACTCAAAATTGTCTGTAGTCCTTCATTCTCACTATATAAGGTACTGGAAATTCAAAATTTTAGCAAATTTTCGTTTTCAATTCATTTTGTGTCGTTGGATAGAGCATATCGAGTTACCTATGAAAAACTACTTTTTCGTTTTTTTTGAAACATATTTTTTCTGAAAATATTGGGAAAAAGACTAAATTCTAAATATCATGATTTGAGTCGTTCATTATCACAGATATGTAAATATTCTATTTTTGTTCATCCTGTAGAACATTATAAGAGCTATTTCATGATTCTCTAGACAAAATTAACCAAAAAACCTTTATATTGGCATTATTCAATTATGATATGATTATAAAGCATATTAAACTCTAGTGACTTCTATGAAACAGCGTCTCGTAAAACAAAAAAAAATTGCATATCGATTGACAAAACTTTCTCTTTGTAGCCGAGAAAATCGATTCTTCTCCGGAGAGTTTCACGACTGAAAACTTATTTTCAAGCAAAATAAATATGATATTTTGAATCTGCACAAAAAATTATGTACAACAACATATATTTCATTGAAAAACATTTTCCATCGAAATTTCGCCTGACAAGGACCTGGAGGAGAGTACGGGCGAAATTTCGATACAAAACATATTTCAATGAAATGAATAGTGTTGAACTGAAGTTTTTTGTGCTATATTTGTTTTGCTTGAAAATCAGTTTTCAGTTGTAAAACTCTCCAGAGAAGAGTCGATTTTCTTGGCTGCAAAAAGAGTTTTACAAGGCCATACATAACTTTTTTCTGGTTGGGAGAGGATGCTTCGAATAACATAGAAAAAACATTTTAATCTTTAAACAAAAAAGTCTTGATTCTTTTGATGCCCTGCGAGACGTCGTTTGATAATCATATCAAAACTGAACAGTGCTAACATAAGGTTTTTCGGTTAATTTTGTC